TCGCATAGCTTCAAAATTCGTGACGACGTAGAACAGCGAATTTCGTGTTGACGTTCGAGTTCCATCGATTTGTTCAGATATTCCACGCCCTCTCTGAACCTTGAGCCTGCATCTCCATCAGCTAGTTTTGGTGCGGTACAGAGTGGTGCTACAAACAAGATGATGACTCTGTACCACATCTCATTGTTGTGTACCACATTTGGATATTTGATGAATACTTGTACAATTATTGGAGGGCCAGAATTATTGGAGTCTAGCATTATTGGAGGGTAAGAATTATTGGCGGGTAAAATTATTGGTGTAGGATTATTTGTGTGGACAGGGCCCTCATGATGGGGTGACCTGCTGACATATATATCCTGCTCTGTCATTCCAGAACATAAATCAATTCCATTATTCTCATTCTGGTTTCAACCATTCAATGCAAGTCTTCCAGCCTTGCTCTTTCTACAAACTAGCTTCCGCAACGCCGGCATCATGCCTTTCTAGCATGGTATCAGAGCAACTCTAGGGGGCATGCTGCCGAAATTTCATCAGAACTCAATCATCATCTACATTGGTTAAGAAGATTAGCAAATCTGCACAGCAAGTGGCAACATTTGGTCTGACGGCATGGTGCGGTTCGACGAGGAAGTTGATGCTGGATACGAGGCGTTCGAAGAAGCAATCTTGGTTCAACATGAGCACCTGGAAAGCATGATCGCAAGAGCACCACCGACACTTCAAGCTTCATTAAGAGCAAGATTCAACATGCCACTCCAAGTTCGAGATTCCAGCAACCCATCTATCCGTGGACAATCACATGCAAGCACTCCGCGTACTAACCAAACCAACACTTCAAATGTGGATGCAGAAATTGAAGGTGACGGGGAAGGAAGCATACCCCAAGGAGGAGAGTCATCCCAAGGGAGGGATGCATCCTTCCAAGGAGAGGGGAGCTCCCCCCGAACCTCAATCAACCATGCAAAGGGAAGCATTGGGGAGGGATGATGAGTACGGGAGTGGAAGGGATATGAGGGCACATGGTGATGGGATTGGCGCGGGAAAAAACATGAGAGGGCAGATTGGTGAAGGGAGTGGTAGAAGCAGTCATATGGGCATGGAGGGTGTGGGATTCGAATCCTACACTATTGGTGCTCCCCCACTACGCAGACTTGCCACTAACTCCTATCCCATTGGAGTTCCCATAATGGGCAGATCTCACCTTTATGGTAACGTCGTACCTCCTCGTGCGCAATGGTCTCAACCGGAATCGGTACCTGCAAGAAGCATTGGGCGCATGGGGCACGGAATGCAATCAAGTGGAGTTATGCGTCGTGACCAAGTGGAGGTGGTGGAACGTGAAGGCACACAACGCACCGTGTAACTACCTCGACCATCTACCGTGCCAACACTCTTCGACCCGTCTCCTCGCGAAAACACCGAAGAAGATGTCAAACATATATGCTAGTGTCTATCTAGGCTGTAGTGGGGTAGACACTATAGGGTACAACATTTCTAGGTTTCCTACTTGTACCCACATTCTGCCTAGTCAACTCATTCCTCATTCTTCACATGGTATAGAGCAGGTTCCCTCGTGGGAACGCTTCTCAGGGCCCACCAACTAACTCGATCTTTTTTTTCCTGCCCGAGGCGTGCCCCGTAGGCCGCCCTCACGTCGCGCCCTCCTAGAGGCCCCTCGCGCCACCCTTAGCTGCCCCGTCGCCGTCCTTAGTGACCCTGTCGCCGCCCCTCTAGGCCCCTCGCGGCCCCTTCACGGCCCCATCGCCACCGCTCTAGGCCCCGTCGCCGCCGCTCTAGGCCCCTCACGGCCCCTTCACGGCCCCGTCGCCGCCGCTCTAGGCCCCGTCCCCGCCGCTCTAGGCCCCTTCCGGCCCCTTCACGACCCCGTCGCCGCCCCTAGCGGCCCCATCGCCGCCCCTCTAGGCCCCTCGCGGCCCCTTCGCGGCCCTGTCGCCGCCACTTGCGGCCCCGTCGCCGCCCCCTCTAGGCCCCTTACGGCCCCTTCGCGGCCTCGTCGCCGCCCCTCTAGGCCCCTTGCGGCCCCTTTGCGGCCCCGTCGCCGCCCCTAGCGGCCCCGTCGCCGCCCCTTCGCGGCCACCTCCCCGCCCTTAGCGGCCCCGCCGCCGCCCCTAGCGGCCCCATCGCAGCCTCTACCGGCCGCGTCGCCACCTCTACCGGCCCCTTCACCGCTGAGCCGCCCAGCAGCTGAGCAGCCGAGCCGCCTCGCAGCCGAGCCGCCCAACAGCCGAGCCGCCGAGCCGCCCAGCAGCCGAGCCCCCGAGCCGCCCAGCAATCGAGCCGCCCAGCAGCCGAGCCGCCCAGCAACCGAGCCGCCGAGCCGCCCAACAGCCGAGCCGCTGAGCCGCCCAGCAACCGAGCCGCCGAGCCGCCCAACAGCCGAGCTGCCGAGCCGCCCTGCCGTCGAGCCACTACTGTTCCTACCGGCGCGTCCCGGCCCTACTTACTCGGACTAATGAGATCACTCCCTGCTAGGCCACTGCAGTCATGGCTACCCCCAGTGTCCTTACCTTTGATGCTGAGGGTCGTGCTGTTGACTTTGAGGTCTGGGTCGATGACCTCCAGCTGTTCCTACAGTGCGATAGGGCAGACGGACTCTCCCTGTTCGATCTCACCTCTGGTGCCTCTCCTGCCCCGCCTTCTACTGCTGACAGCACTGTTCGCTCACAGTGGGCCACACGCGATGCTGCCGCTCGCCTTGCTGTGCGTCGCCACTTACCGACCACTGAGCGTGCGCACTTTAGCCAGTACAAGAGTGCTAAGACCTTGTACGACGCTGTAGTTGCACGCTACTCCTCCCCTGCCACTGCTGAACTTAGCCGCCTCATGCTGCCGTACCTGTTCCCTGACCTTGCTGCCTTTCCCACAGTCGCTGACCTCATTACGCACCTTCACACTAGTGACACTCGCTACCGAGCTGCGCTTCCTGCTGAGTTCTGCGCCAAGAACCCCCCCCCCCCCCCCATGTACATCACCCTCTACTACATAGTCACCCGGCTCCCTGACTCCCTTCGCTTAGTCAGGGACCACTTCCTCTCAGTTTGCCCCACCACACTCACCGTTGACCTCCTCGAGGAGCGCCTCCTAGCAGCAGAGAAGAGCATAGTCGCTGTAGGAGCCTCTCGTGGTGACCCTCGCACCCTTGTCTTTGAGGGGTGTTCCCCCTCCCCCCTCTTGCCCTCTGTTGCTTCTGCTGCTGCGGCCGACCTCGTTGGTTTCGAGTCGGTCGGCGCTGCGTCTGTCCCTAGCGGGAGACGCCGCTCCGGCAAGGGCAAGCGGGGGAAGGGCGCTGGAGGGGCTGGCGGGGGCGGTGGAGGTGGTGGTGGAGGCAGTGGAGGGGGTGGGGGTGGTGGTGGGAGTGGTGGCGGGGGTGGAGGTGTCGGTGGCAGCAGTGGAGGCGGAGGAGGCGGCGGTGGTGGCGGAGGGAGCGGAGGCGGCGGAGGTGGCGGAGGCGGCGGCAGCAGTGGTGGAGCTGGTTGCGGCTCTGCGCAGAGGAGTGGCTCCGGTGGTGGTCCGCGCCAGCAGCAGCAGCGCAGTCGTGAGACACCTGTCCCCTCAGTAGCTTCGTGAGTGGTACGCAGCGCGTGAGCGCGGTGGGGGTACTGGTCCATGCACCTACGTCCTCCGTACCGGCGACCGCGCTGGTGAGCAGTGCGGGGACCCGCAATCCACCCAGCGCTGCTTCGGCCAACTGACGGACGCGTGGCGTCACCAGTTCCTTGAGGTCTCTGAGATCCCTCGCTGGGGAGAGCTGTCTAGGGCGGGGGTTGCTATCTATGAATCTTGATTATGATGCTATTCTTGCTGCCATGTATGCTTTGTCTGATAGTGTTGAGGGTGACTTTTACTTGTGTGTTCCGCCTGACCCCGGCATTGAGGCTGCTCCTCTAGGTGCTAGTGCGTCTGCTGCCCCAGGTGCTGGTGAGTCTGCTCTCTCAGGTACTACGTCGGCTCAGGCCTTCCACACCTTCACCTTTGACTCGGGTGCTTCCCGCTCCTTCTTTCGAGACCGCACCACGCTTACGCCGCTTAGTCGGCCGGTTGCAGTCTCCCTGGCGGACCCCTCTAGGGGTCCTGTCCCTGCTAGCTTCTCCACTGTCTTACCGTGCCCGGCAACCCCCTCTGGCACCCTGTAAGATCTCTACCTCCCCTCGTTCTCTACGAACTTGGTGAGTGGAGCTGATCTACAGGATAGGGGGGTTGACCAATTCACTCCTGCGAGTCAGCGGGTGACCCACTGCACGTGTGCTCGGACAGGCCGACACTTGGCCACGTTCACCCGTCGGCCGGGGTCGAGCCTGTACACACTTACTACTGAGTCTCCTCCGGCTGCTGAGTCTGGTCAGGTAGCTGCGTCGAGTCAGGTGTTTGCTGCAGCGTCCACGTCTGGTCCTGAGTCTGCTCCCTGCTCGTGTCGTCTCCTGTCCCACCAGACTCTCCTTTGGCACCACCGCCTTGGTCACCCCTCCCTGCCTCATCTCCGAGGCATGGCCTCCCGTGTCCTTCTCTCTGGTCTCCCCCGGTCTCTCCCTCCCCTACCTTCGGGGCCTGCCCCTACCTGCGTCGCCTGCGTCGAGGGGTGACAGCGCGCCGCCCCTCTCTCCTCCGAGTTTCCTCCGATAGAGGCTCCTCTGCAGACTCTTCATATGGACGTGTGGGGCCCCGCCCGCGTCCGTGGCCAGGGGCACTAGCGTTACTTCGTGTTGGTGGTTGACGACTACTCGCGTTACACCACAGTCTTCCCCTTGCGCAGCAAGGGTGACGTCACTGAGGTGTTGATCGACTGGATCCGCGCAGCTCGTCTCCAGCTCAGAGAGAGTTTCGGCTCGGACTTTCCTGTTCTGCGTCTGCACTCTGACAGAGGCGGGGAGTTTTCCTCTGCCCGTCTGGGAGCCTTCTGTCGAGCATAGGGCATCCGCCAGACCTTCACGCTTCCGGCCTCTCCACAGCAAAATGGGATTGCTGAGCGCCGCATTGGCATGGTCATGGACGTCGCTCGTACGTCCATGATCCATGCGGGTGCCCCCCATTTTCTGTGGCCGTTTGCGGTTCATTTCGCACCGCATCAGCTCAGCCTCCAGCCCCGGGTCTCCTTGCCAGAGACCTCCCCCACCTTGCGGTGGACGGGGAAGGTTGGCGATGCGTCTGCGTTTCGAGTCTGGGGATCTCGGGCGTTTGTCCGCGACTTGTCTACGGACAAGCTGTCCCCCCGTGCTGTTCCCTGCGTCTTCCTTGGCTTCCCCCCTGACACGCGTGGGTGGCAGTTTTACCACCCCACCTCGCGCCGTGTTCTGTCCTCCCAGGACGTTAGCTTTGACGAGTCGGTGCCTTACTACCGTCTCTTCCCCTACCGCACTGCGCCCCTCCCCCCCCCGCCGATCTTCCTTGCGCCAGGTCCTCCCCCGGTAGACCCCCTCCCCCCTCAGGGTCCTGCCCTGTCAGGTGTGTCCCAGGTAGATGCAGTCGAGCCTGTCGAGGTAGCTGTTGAGTCTGGTGCTGCTAGAGGTGCTGAGCCTGCGGGTGCCGGGTCTGGAGGTGCTGAGCCTGGGGGTGAGGAGCCTGGGGGTGCTGAGTCCAGGGGCGCGGAGCCTGGGGGTGCTGAGCCTGGGGGTGCTGAGTCTGGGGGTGCTGAGTCTGGGGGTGCTGAGTCTGAGGGTGCTGAGCCTGGGGGTGCGGAGCCTGGGGGTGCGGAGCTTGGGGGTGCTGGGTCTGCTCGTGTGGCCTCTCACGGTGCTTCGTCGAGACGGGAGCCACTCTCTCCGCGGGAGCTGCGCGAGTGGTTTGCCCGGCGCTGGAGCCGTGCTGCTGGAGCCGGAGGTACTCGTACTGGCGGTGCTGGAGCTGCTGGGACTGGGGGTGCTGCTGGAGTTGCTGGAGTTGGTCCTGCTGGAGGTACTGCTGGAGCTGCTGGCGGTACTGGAGCTGTCGGTCCTGCTGCAGCTGGAGCTGCTGGAGCTGGAGCTGCTGGGGGTGTTGGCGCTGGTGGTTCTGCTGGCGCTAGTGCTGCTGCTGAGGGTACTGGTGCTGTCCCTGCTGGTTCTGGAGGCGCTGCGGAGCCGAGGCCGTACTTCGTTCCGCTCCTTGAGCAGGTTCTTGGTCTCTCGCCCTCTACTGGTCCTGCTCCTCCCTTAGAGTGTCCACAGCCTGTCTAGTCGCGGTCACAGTTACAGCCCGCCTCCCCCCTACCTGCTCCTTCTACCTACACTGGTCCTACTGGAGATCTTGCTGAGCGTCGTAAGCCTGCGTCTCATCCTGCGTCGCCTGTTCGTGCTGCTCGCACTAGTGGTCTTGCTCCGCGTCCGCGTCCTCCTGCGGTCCCGAGCACACACCAGATGGCACTGCGTCCTTCCACTGCTCCTCTGCGTGTCCCGTTGCCGTCTCCTCCAGAGTCCTCTCTTCCTACTCTTACTGACCCGGAGTCTGACTCTCTTCGTGCTGCCAGTCCTACTGTTACGCGTCTCCTGGCTACTGTTGTCACTGACCCTTCTTTTGAGTCCACTACTGCGTCTGCCTTAGTTGCTGAGCTTGTCGACTTTACTGCTCTTTGCCGTCTAGACTACGCTGCCAATCTTGTTGCTGAGTCTGAGTCTGTCTGTCCTCCGTCCGTCGGGGGTGAGTGTGCTCTTAGCACGGACGTCCTTGAGGACAAGCAGGAGTTCCAGTGTTTTGCTACTGCTTTGCCTCATCTCGTGTCCACGCTGATTGCCCCTGAGGGAGACCCGGATGTACCAGACATCCCGACTCCTCGATCGTACGCTGAGGCGTTCGAGGGTCCCTACTCCTCTCAGTGGCAGTCAGCCATGGACGCAGAGATGGCTTCCTGGAAGTCCACAGGCACCTACGTCGACGAGGTTCCCCCACGTGGGGCGAACATCGTCAGTGGCATGTGGATTTTCAGGGTGAAGCGGCCGCCGGGTTCTTCGCCTGTCTTCCAGGCGCGTTACGTGGCTCGAGGCTTCAGTTAGCGACAGGGAGTTGACTACTTTCAGACCTTCTCTCCCACCCCGAAGATGACCACTCTTCGGGTGCTGCTGCACATAGCCGCTCAGCGCGACTACGAGCTCCACTCTCTTGACTTCAACACAGCTTTCCTGCAGGGCAGCCTGCACGAGGAGATCTGGCTGCGCCGCCCACCTGGCTTCACTGGGTCGTTTCCTCCTGGTACCCAGTGGAGCCTCCGGCGGCCAGTCTACGGTCTCCGCCAGGCACCTCGTGAGTGGCACGACACAATGAGGACTACACTTGCGGCTCTTGGCTTTGCTCCTTCTACAGCCGACCCGTCGCTGTTTTTGCGCACCGACACTTCTTTGCCGCCGTTGTACATCCTCGTGTACGTCGACGACTTGGTCTTTGCCACAGCTGACACTGCTGGACTCGCCCACGTGAAGTCCGAGCTGCAGAAGAGACACACGTGCACAAACCTGGGTGAACTGCGCAGCTACCTTGGCTTGCAGATCACCCGGGACAGAGCACAGCGCACCATTACCCTGACTCAGTCACACATGGTGCAGCAGGTCCTTCAGCGCTTCGACTTCACGTACTCCTCGCCTCAGGCCACTCCTCTGTCTACTCGCCACTCGCTCTCAGCTCTGCCTTCGGATGAGTCCGTAGAGCCGAGTGGCCCGTACCCAGAGCTTGTTGGCTGCCTCATGTACCTGATGACCTGCACACGACCTGACCTTGCATACCCTCTTAGCATCTTGGCATGCTATGTTGCTCCTGGGAGACACCGACCAGAGCACATGGCTGCAGCGAAGAGGGTGTTGCGCTACTTGTGCAGTACGTCGGGCATGGGGCTAGTGCTTGGAGGGCGACGTCGAGTGGTCCTCATAGGTCACGCAGACGCTTCTTGGGCTGACGACCAGGCTACGCAGCGGTCGTCACAGGGTTACACCTTCAGCCTTGGCTCCGGCTCTGTTTCGTGGCGGTCTACCTGCTCGTCTTCTGTTCTCGGCTCCAGCTGTGAGGCTGAGATCTACACGGGGGCCGTGGCTGCACAGGAGCTACGCTGGCTCACCTACCTGCTGACTGACCTAGGAGAGCCACCTCGTTCTCCTCCTGTTCTGTACGTAGACAACAAGGCCATGCTGGCCTTGTGTCGGGAGCACAGACTGGAGCACAGAACGAAGCACATTGCTCTCCGCTACTTCCTTGCTCGTGAGCTGCAGCAGCGCGGCCAGCTGCGCCTTGCTTACGTGGCCTCTGAGGCCAACACTGCTGATATCTTTACCAAGGCACTTCCGCCTGGTGATCATCAGCGCTTTTGTACTATGCTAGGTCTTGTGCCTACTTGGCCTCACTTGCTCACTTCTTGACCTTGCTTTTACTGTGATCTTTCTATACCTGCACTTGCCTGTTTACCTTAATATATGATCTTGCATGTGAACTGGCCTTGTGGCCTTGCTCTTGTGCTCGGATTGTGTGGTGACGTTGTGATCCACCCTGAGCTTGCTTTATTTTGCTTGACTGGTCTTGTGACCTCTTGTCCTCCCCCACTTTGCCTATGGGGGTGTGTCAAACATATATGCTATGGTTTATCTAGGCTGTAGTGGGGTAGATACTATAGGGTACAACATTTCTAGGTTTCCTACTTGTACCCACATTCTGCCTAGTCAACTCATTCCTCATTCTCACAGAAGACAAAGACAGACTATCACGCAAGATGGTGGGAGCAGCAGTGGACAAAGCGTTCACCACAACCGCGTTCGATGGCACTAACTTTCGAGAGTGGGCTCTTCGATTTCGCATGAACGCGCGCGTGACGAATCTGTGGGAGTTTTTCGTGACACTACGATACCCGGTTAGAATGGTGAATGGAGAAATGCGAGATGCAATGGAACGGCTGGAAACTCTGCAAGAGGATTACTCCCAACGTGCTACGCTGGCTTTTTGGGTGCTTCTACATAGCGTGAGCGCAACAATTCAGCTACAACTGGATGTGTTCCAAGAGTCATACAGTTCGGCATTCGAAGCATGGGAGTACCTGATGGAAACTTACCAGGCGAAGGATTCGGTCGCAAAAGCGTCTCTCCAGAGGCAATTGGACAACCTGAAGATGGGGAGCCAAGAAAGGGTGGAGGAATATATCAACAGAGCAACTGCAATTCGGGACAAGCTAGCTATGACAGGAAAATTGGTGGATGAAGATTCTTTCACCTTGAATCTGATTATCGGGCTGCCGCCGCATTGGGAGGAGCTAAGGCATTCGGCAATGCTACACGACATCTCAGACAGTTACACACTACAGCGAATGATGATTCAAGAACAACGCTACCAAGACCTCATTAGCAAAACCAACCGTGACAAGCGTCCTCCTCGCATGGCTGGTCAGGCACGTGGAGATACTTCACCAGCAAAGGAGAGAACCGAGGGCAACTAGAATACAGCAAGGTCAACGGGAGGACAACATGCGACGGGTGGAGAAAAATTCAAAGGCAACGAAGGAAAGGGGGGGCGGTCAAACCTCGTGTGTTGGTACTGCAAGGAGTCTGGCCACCCGTTCTACAAGTGTCCTAAGGCACCTCCGGGTTGGTCACCACCAGGTTGGGAACCACAAAACAGAGGGAGGACAAACCAACGCACCTGGAGTAGCCGATCTTCCTCGCCTCGGAGGAGTGAAAGCCCGAAACGTGATAGCCAAGCATCAAAACAGCAAGGGGCAGCTGGGGGAGACAACAAGCGAACCGTTACATGCGTGGCAACGGTTCGATCGTCACAAGCAACGTTACCAGCCGCCGGAGGGTCGATGTGGTTGCTGGACAGCGGATGCAGCCAACACATGACTGCAGAGAGGGAGTGGTTTGAGGGATTAGAGGAGTTGACCGAACCTGTTTACGTGGAGCTTGCTGATGGGAGCCATCTTTTGAGCTCGATGGCAGGGACAATTCGAGCAACGGGACCTGATGGAACAACAGTACGTTTCACCGATGTGCTCTATGTCCCCGGCTTTAAGTCCAACCTCCTCTCCTATTGCCAACTGCACAAAAAGGGAGCTCGGATTCGCACTCGAGACGACGGACACATCGTGATTACTATGGCCGTTGAAGATGAGCATGTGGTCATTGGGGTTGGGATGATCATGCATGGTGTGCTCATGGTGCAATATGAGCCTGCGCTTGCATCTGCCCGTAGATTTGATCATTACCATGAGAATGGCGCATCGCATGAGCATGATCTCAATGGGGTGCATCCACTTTCTGCTCATGCTTCCATCACTTATCGCATGGCCCACAAGCGTTTGGGTCACCCATCATACACATCCATGGATGCCACATTTCGGAATGGGGATGTCGAAGGACTCTCCATATCAGACAAGGTCAACCCCCTCAAACCCCCGTGTGACTCATGCCTTCGAGGGAAAATGAGCAGGGCCCCATTTCCCACAGGTGAAGACAAGCGGACTACTCGACCTTTGGAACCTCGGCATAGGGACATCATGGACTTGGGTGATGCTCACCCCTCACTTCGCTATGTGCTGACGCTTAAGGACGACTACACCAACTACCTGTGGGTGGCGCCGTTGGCTCGCCGTTCCGACATGGCAGCTGTCTTTTCGACCTGGCACCGCGAGATGAAGACCAAGCTGCCACAAAGCCTCTGGCTGCCTTGCGCACGGACAACGGAGGGGAGTACACAGCCAATGCGTTCACGGATTACCTGAGTTCTCAAGGCATCAATCACCAAATGTCTTTACCATACACGCCGCAGTAGAATGGAGTCGCCGAGCGGGTTAACCGCACGCTCATGGACCGTGTGCGTGCAATGACTACCGCAGCCAGCCTTTCATCTAAGTTCTGGCCTTATGCGCTGGAGTATGCCGCTTGGTTACACAACCGCATCAACTGCAGTAGCAACCCCTCCGCACACTCACCGTACTTCATGATGACGGGGAAGGCTGCAAATGTCTCCATGGCAAGGACCTTCGGATGCCTCTGCTACTATCTCCCTCCCCAAGGTAGCTTCGGGAGGTTTGAGCAACGAGGACGGGCAGGCATGTTTCTCGGCCTCTCTAGCTCACGCAAGGCATGGATCGTCCGGGACTTGGCAAGCGACGTCGACACGGACACACGCTCAGCTCGTTTCTTTGACGACCTCATGCTCCCAGACGCCGAGTCCCTGCTCGAACGCCAACGGTACATGGATGAAGTCTCACCTCATATCTCGGAGTGGATTTCAGGGGGAGACGGCGTTGGGTCAGCATTTGACTCGTTTCCCGCATCCCACACTTCCTCCCCATCATCCTTTGACGCCGCTACAGCAGAACAACATGGAACTAGGGCAAATGACACCGCTCAAGAAGACTCACCAGCAGCTAGTGAAGCCGATCCAGGAGAAGAGACAACGACAAGTGACTTACCAGCGGCAGGCATCTCTGTTTGGGAAGGTGCAGACAACAACGAACCAGACAATGACGCAAGTCATCTCTATGACTTTGCCTACCCACCCGATGGGATCTCGCTGGCTGCTCCTGACGTGCCGCCACGGCGGGTTCACTTCAACCCAACGGTAACAGTGCTTGGAGAAGGACAAGGGACGGACAACATGACAGGCCTGGACGTATAGCTTGGGAGGCGGCAGGCAGGACTAACAGTCACACAGTTTCCCAACTTGCAGCAGCAGAACGTGCTGGGATGTGCAGCAACCGGCGTCCCCATGGTGGAGCTGACATACAAAGAGCCAAAAACACTTCAGGAAATGACCAAGGACTCGTACGCACCTCTTTGGCAAGCCGCTGTGGATGCAGAATTGGCCAATTTCGATGAGCTGGAAGCATACGAAGTGGTGGACAGAGCGGACGTACCGAAGGGAACGCCAGTGCTGACAGAAGGAGTCGTCTTAAGGGTGAAACGAGATGAGCACGGACAGCCAAACCGGTTCAAAGTGCGCTGGGTGGTCAAGGGATGTGGACAAACATGGGGAACATACGATGAGACGTATGCACCAGTCAGCCAAGGACCTACCTCTCGCATGTTCGTCGCTGGTGCATCTGCTACGAAGCGGAAGGTGGTGCAACTGGACATCTCCAATGCATTCCTATACGCTCCAATCGACCGAGACGTATACGTGAGACCACCAGAACCAAGGCGGGACAGAGACAAGGTCTGGAAACTCAAGCGCAGTGTATACGGTCTGAAACAAGCACCACGCTTGTGGCATCAGCACTTACGGGGTGTCCTGTTGGAGCTGGACATGGTGCAATCCGAATCGGACCCATCCCTATTTATCTGGAAAAGAGAAGGCAAGGACACGGTGTGGCTACTCACATACGTTGACGACATCCTCATCCAGTCTCATGACGACGAAGGCATTGAAGCGGTGATTCAACACTTGAAGCAGAACTTTACCTTGACCGTCAGCAAGACCATGACGCAGTTTTTGGGGCTCAACATCACCGCTGACAACAACTCAATCTCGCTCGGCCTCACAAAGTACATCTCACAAGCTTTGGCGACCTTCGGGATGGAGGGCAGCTGTTCCGGAGTTCGGACACCGATCACCAAAGAACCTGCACCACACGGAGAACCACCGGACGAGGTTGATGGTCAATTGGTGCTGAAACAAGTTGGGACATTGCTGTACAACTCAACAGCAGGGAGGCCGGACATAACCTATGCAGCACATCTGCTAGCCAGCCAAGCAAGCAAACCAACGTCAACAACAGTGCTTGGAATCCACAGGGTGTTCAACTACTTACAGAACACTGCAGACATGGGGCTGGTCTATGGAGGAGGGGACTTGGTTCTCCGCGGATACACAGACTCGGATTATGCGAACGAAGCAGGGCGTCACTCCGTTGGAGGCTACGTGTTTACCTTGGGAGGAGCTGCTGTCAGTTGGAGGACCAAACGGCAAACGGTCATTGCAACATCCACAGCCGAAGCAGAATACATTGCACTGTTCGAAGGGGCAAGGGAGGCTACATACCTTCGCCGTTTGTGTGACGACCTCGGTTTTCGCCGGCGCGAACCTACCGTCATCTGTGGATAACCAGAGCGCAATTGCACTTGCAACCGGGGAGCAGAGGAGTCAACGCATCAAGCACATGGACGTACGTTACCATTGGACGAGGAAGGCCATTCGTGATGGAGTTGTGCAGCCGGAGTACTGTCCAACAGCTCAGCAAGCTGCGGATTATCTCACCTGCAGCCACTTGTGCGGTCTCCAACCGATTCCACCTAGAGCATTGTCTACAACCCGTCGGAAGATTGCAAGTGCTGAAGCTACGCTCTCACGTCAGAGCTCTTCACGGGGTGGTGCACAACAAGGCATCACGTAACTCCACGCATCTCACTCATGTGTTTGGTGCTATGTGCGT